TTCCAACATCCCAAATTCCTCTAAAATAACCCAAAAATTCCTCCAAAATAACCCAAAAATCCCTGCAAAATAACCCAAAAATCCCTCCAAAATAACCCAAAAATCCCTCTAAAATAACCCAAAAATCCCTCTAAAATAACCCAAAAATCCCTCTAAAATAACTCAAAAATCCCTCTAAAATAACCCAAAAATCCCTCTAAAATAACCCAAAAATCGCCTTTCCAACATCCCAAATTCCTCTAAAATAACCCAAAAATTCCTCCAAAATAACCCAAAAATCCCTGCAAAATAACCCAAAAATCCCTCCAAAATAACCCAAAAATCCCTCCAAAATAACCCAAAAATCGCCTTTTAGACACCCCAAATCCCTCTGAAATAACCCCCAAAATCCCTCTAAAATAACCCAAAAATTCCCCTAAAATAACCCAAAAATCCCTCTAAAATAACTCAAAAATCCCTCTAAAATAATCCCAAAAATCGCCTTTCCAACATCCCAAATTCCCCTAAAATAACCCCAAAAATCTCCCTTCAAGCATCCCAAATTCCTCTAAAATAACCCAAAAATCGCCTTTCCAACATCCCAAATTCCTCTAAAATAACCCAAAAATCCCTCTAAAATAACCCCAAAAAAATCGCATTTTAGACACCCCAAATCCTCCTCAAAAACCCCAAATCCCTCTAAAAAATCCCAAAATCCCCCTAAAAATTCCCAAAATTCCCCAAATCCCCAAATTCCCCCAAAATTCCCGGGACGGGGCCGGGAAATTCCGGACGCCCTTGGAGAGGAGGAGCTCGCCCCTCCCCCAGCGCATTAATTAATTCCCGATTCAATTAAAGAGCGCTGCCCTCATTAACGCTCCCGGGTGTTAATTAACAACGGGCGGGAGCGGCGCCCCCCCCCTCATTAATTAATTGCTGCCGTTAATTAATCGATTTGGGGGGTTCGGGGTGGGGGATGGGTGACCCCTCCCTGCGGAATTCCCAAAAAATCCTCGGGAATGGGGAGGGAAAGTTCGGGAAAAGCCGGGGCTGGGAATTCCTGGAGTGTGGAAATTTGGGATGGAGGGGAGGGAAAATCTGGGATGGGGGGAGAATTCCTGGGATGTGGGGAAATCTGGGATACGGACCCAGGAAAATCTGGGATGCTCTGGGATGGAGGGAAATCTTGGAATTCTCCGGGATGCCGATGCGGGAAAATCTGGGATGGGGGAAAATTCTGGGATGGGGGAAAATTCTGGGATGTTCTGGGATGCCGATGAAGGAAAATCTGGAATTGTCTGGGATGCTGATGTGGGAAAATCTGGGATACGGACACAGGAAAATCTGGGATGGTCCGGGATGGAGGTGGGGGGAAATCTGGGATGCGGGAAAATCTGGGATGCAGACACGGGGAAATCTGGGATGCGGATACCGGGAAATCTGGGATTCTCTGGGATGCAGACACAGGGAAATCTGGGATATGGATACCGGGAAATCTGGGATTCTCTGGGATGCGGATGAAGGAAAATCTGGGATATGGATACCGGGAAATCTGGGATTCTCTGGGATGCGGATGAAGGAAAATCCGGCCCTGCTGGGGAAGCTCCGCTCCCTTCCCGAGGTTTTCCCGGCTGGAAAATCCCAGGATTTTCCATCCCCGCCTTGTCCGGGCTCCCTCTGGAGTCCGCGCCGGGAATCGGCGCCAAACCGGGAAAATCCAGGGAAAAACAAATCCCAAAAAAGCCGAATCCCGCAGGGATCCGCGGGATGGGCTCGGGCGGATCCAGGGAATTCCGTGTCCGGGATAAAGAGATCCCGGAAACAGCGGGATCCTGGCGGGATGCGCGGGAATGGATCCCACGGGAATGGATCCCACGGGAATGGATCCCAGAGGGAATTGATTCCATGGGAATTGATTCCATGGGAATGGATCCCAGAGGGAATGGATCCCATGGGAATTGATTCCATGGGAATGGATTCCATGGGAATTGATTCCATGGGAATTGATTCCATGGGAATGGATTCCATGGGAATGGATCCCACGGGAATGGATCCCACGGGAATGGATCCCAGAGGGAATTGATCCCATGGGAATTGATCCCAGAGGGAATTGATTCCATGGGAATTGATTCCATGGGAATTGATCCCAGAGGGAATGGATTCCATGGGAATTGATCCCAGAGGGAATTGATTCCATGGGAATTGATTCCATGGGAATTGATCCCAGAGGGAATGGATCCCATGGGAATTGATCCCATGGGAATGGATCCCACGGGAATGGATCCCATTTTTTGGGGGGGAACGCTCCTTTTTTCACCCCCCAAAAAATCCCATTTTTTTTCCCCCTCCGGCGGGTGGGAAAACCAAACCCGCGGGAATTCCGTGCGCGGGAAGGGATTTTTTGGGATTGGGAGGTTGGAAAAGCGCTCCCGGCACGGTCGGGAAGGCGAGGCCGCAGATCCCATAAATCCCGGGAGCGCTGATCCCATAAAAGGCGGCGCCGGGAGCGGCCGGAGCCGCTCGCGGGGATTTATGGAGCCTCCCGCTCCCGGGAGCGCTTCCAGCCGGGAATCGCGGCCATAAATCCCGGGATTCCCGGGAATCGCGGCCATAAATCCCGGGATTCCCGGGAATCGCGGCCATAAATCCCGGGATTCCCGGGAATCGCGGCCATAAATCCCGAGCGCCCGGGGCTCCCCGCGCCAGGGGCGTGACCCCAAAAACCCCAAATCCGCCCCAAAAAGGGCGCTGGGAGAGGGCAGGGAATTCTCTCCGGGAATTTGGAGGGGTGGAGGATCCAAATCCCACAGATCCCAAATCCCACAGATCCCAAATCCCACAAATCCCAAATCCCACAAATCCCAAATCCCACAGATCCAAATCCCACAAATCCCAAATCCCACAAATCCCAAATCCCACAAATCCCAAATCCCACAGATCCCAAATCCCACAAATCCCAAATCCCACAGATCCCAAATCCCACAAATCCCAAATCCCACAGATCCCAAATCCCACAAATCCCAAATCCCACAGATCCCAAATCCCAAATCCCACAGATCCCAAATCCCACAGATCCCAAATCCCACAAATCCCAAATCCCACAAATCCCAAATCCCACAGATCCCAAATCCCACAGATCCCAATCCCAGAGTTTGGAGCAGATTTCGGGGGGTTTAAGTGACATTTGGGTTTTTTTTTTAGTGGGAAAAGGGATTTTTTGGGATGCCGGGGGTCCCATCCCATAATCCCAACCCAATTTTGGTGTCTCCCATTCCCGGGTGGGGATTTGGGATTTGGGGGCTGGGAATTCCAGGGCTGGGATTTGGGGGATGGAGCTGAGATTTGGGATCCGGGGCTTCGTCATTTTGGGATTGGAGGGGACGGAAATTGGGGGGAATTTTTGGGGTTGGGATTCAGGGGAATCCCGGGGGTGCCAAACTCAGGATTTGGGATTATTTTGGGGCATTTTCCGACCTTTTCCCCCTCAATTTTCCCTCCCCCGAGCCCAGAGCTGAAATCCAGCCAGAAAAAAAATTCCCACCCTGCTCCCCCCGCCCCAAATTCCTCCCCCGGCCCTTCCCACCCCAATCCCAGCGGGATCGGCGCCTTTTCCCCCTTCCAGGACCCCCGGATCCCAACCCGCGGCGAAAAATTCCCCTTTTCCCACATTTTCCCCCCCTTTTTCCCCCTCCCGGCCCCACCTGCCCCCGGCGGGAGCCGCTTCCCTGGAAAAATCCATCAAATCCCGGGATTTGGGCTCGGCGGGGCGCGGGCAGATGGGAGGCGAGGCCGCCGGGAAAGAATTCCAGGCGTTTTCCATAAAAACCGATGGCGGGGCCGAGGTGGGGGAGGGGCGGGCGGGGGGTCGCGGAGGTCGCGATGGGGAGGGGGGGGGGCGTTTTCCTGGGAAAAACGGGGGGAAATTGGGGAAAAGGGGGGAAAAAAAGGGGGGGGGATTGGGGAAAAGGTGTTTTCCTGAGGGGAAAAATGGGGGGAAAATGGGGAAAAAAATGGGGGAAAAATGGGGGGGAAAATTGGGGGAAAAGGGGGAAAAATGGGGAAAAAGGGGAAAAATTTGGGGGAAAAGGGATGTGTTTTTCTGGGAAAACGGGGGAAAAAAAGGTTGGAAAAATGGGGGGGAAAAGGGTGGGAAAGGGGAAAAAAAAGGTGGAAAAGGGGGAAAATAGAGAGGAGGGAAGCAGAAAGGGGAGGAAAAGGGTTCGGTTCCATCCCTGTCCCCATCCCGGGAAGGAATTTTGGGATTTCTCCTCCCCGGGACCTCCCGCGACCCCCGAGGGTCCCCCCGGATTTTGGGATTTGAGGGGATCCCCCCCTCGGGATCCTTTCCCTTCCCGAAATTCCTGGATTTCAGCCCAGAAACACCCCGGGAATTCCAATTTATTTCTTGATTTCTTTTTATTCCTCCCCCTTTTCCCCGTCTCCAGCTCCAGGGAAATCTCTCCCGGAGCAGCTGGAAGATCGGGAATTCCGCCCGGAGGAGGGAGAGGAAAAAGGAGCCGTAAAAAAATGAAAGGATCCAATAAAGATTAATTATCCGATTATCAGAGACATCAATCCCGGGGATAAATCAGCCCCGCGGTGAAATCCGGGCAGGGATCCTGGGAAAGGAGAGCCCGATCCTGCGGCTCCCAGGGCGGAATTCCCGGTTTTGCCTCTTTCTGCCCCAAAATGGGGCTGGGAAAGGGGGGGGAGGGGAGAAAATCCCCCCCAGATCCGTTCCGGGGAGAGGGAATCCCACGGGAATCCTTTGGGATTGGGGTGGGAGCGGGGAATGCTCAGTCCTGAGACCCCAGAGATCCCAAACCCGGGGATCCCAAATCCCAAACCCCAAATCCCAAACCCGGGGATCCCAAACCCCAAACCCGGGGTTCCCAAACCCGGGGATCCCAAACCCCAAATCCCAAACCCGGGGATCCCAAACCCCAAATCCCAAACCCCAAACCCCAAATCCGGGGATCCCAAACCCCAAACCCCAAACCCGGGGATCCCAAACCCCAAACCCGGGGTTCCAGTCCCGGTCCCGGTTCCAATCCCGGTTCCAATCTCGGTCCCGGTCCCAGTCCCAGTCCCGATTCCAATCCCGGTCCCGGTTCCAATCCCGGTCCCGATTCCAATCCCGGTCCCGGTTCCAATCCCGGTCCCGGGGCTCTGTCGCCCTCTGGCGGTTCCTTCCCGCAGAGCCGC